TTATTTAATTCGAAATTCTTAATATAAACTCAAGTTCTTTGACTCACACTAATAACTGACTAAGTGTTTCTTCAAGTGATGCAATTGAACGATGTAATGCATTTTATCTTAATTCTATATCACTTCGTGTATGTAGAGTATTCAACAGATGAACAGCAAATTTTACAGAAATTTAATAAATTTACTAAATCCTCCATTACACTAACAACATTTGTCATTATGGTTCCCTTGGGTCCCTAGTGGAACATAGGGCTTCAACTGCACGTTTCCCTCAACTAGCTTCTGTCTTCCTTCTGCTGTACTTTTCACCTGAATCCATCTTAGTCCATACTCTTTCAACTCCTCTTCACACGATCTCCTCCATGTCACCCCTCCACTGACGTCCCACTCGCCGCTTCCCATTCTCTCGGGTTCCACTGGAGTAATGGCCTGACGCGCACGCGATGTCACCCAGCGGCCTCCTGCTCAGCGAATGTCCATCAAATCCATCTCCACTTTCTCCTGCATATTTGTTGGTTGGCGATTGGTTCTTGTTTTGTTTGTTTGTTCCCAGCCATGGTTTTTTGTTGGTGATTCTTTCCGACCCAGCCATCTGATCTTCACTATGGAGCGAAGACAGTTAGTCGTTGGTAAAGGTAACGTCTGCAACAGGCTATTGGAAATATTCTTTGTGACCCGTCCGCCCGCCAAGTTTCCGATCTGTATAGAAGTACTGATTGACTTGACGTTTATACTGAAAATCCGACTGAATTTTGTTGTTCACGGTGGCTGAGTGACGAAGATTTCCAGATTGGTTTCAGTTGGTTGATGAGTGTGTTTCTCGCTCGCCTTCCCGATTCTCATTCGATTTGACATCCTCGTCCGTTCCGACAGCCTGTATAGTTGAGACAATGTTCCCTAGATAAGTGAATGAATGAAGTAACCTCTTTCAAATCCCTCCCGTTGATGGTGATTGACGCTGGATGTCGCTGCTGTTGTTGGTGGTTATTTTCGTAACCTCCATCTTGTATGTGTTCACTTGGAATCCTGTCTTCGCCGGCTGCTTCTTCGACCAACGTATCGGTCGGTTTTCGCTTGTAAGTCTTCGATTTTGTGATAGTGACATCAAACATAAATCCTCCACAAGCGAAATCCAGGTCTTGTAGGTTCTTCACGTCGGTTGGTCCAGGATATCCCTGTCCCGTTTCTCGTTTACCACTGTCTGACGCATAATCCAGTCAGTCCACCACAATTAGGAATATCATCGTGGGTGATAATAAGCACCCTTGTCTGACTCCTTTGTTTACCCCAAACGCCTCACTGAGTTTTCCGTTGTGGATCACTTGACATGTTCCGTTGTCGTACAGATGTTGAATAAGGTTGATGAATATTTGGGGTACACCGTAGTACTCGAGTAATTTCCAAATTACTTCGCAATCAACGCTGTCGAAGGCCTTCTCGAAGTCTATAAAGTTGAGGTAGAGGTTTTGATTGCCATTCCATGCCTTGTTCGATGATGATGCGTAGAGTTGCAATTTGGTCAGAACATGATTTGCCTTTCCTGAATCCAGCTTGTTCTGGTTGGAGTTCTGTATCCAGTGCATCCTTTATCCTCTCCAGGATGATGCGACTCAGGATTTTACTTGGTGTCGACAGGAGCATGATTCCTCGCTAGTTCTTGCAGAGATGCCTAAGCCTCGCTTCTTTGGTAGTTTCACGAGGTCACCTTTCCTTCAGTCAGTAGACACCTTTCCCTCCTTCCAGACCTTTTGCGATAATAGGGTCAGCATATCAACTGGCGTCTCTGGGTCCGCTTTCAGTGCTTCAGGGAGTATTACATCTGGACACTATTTGTTGCTTGTTTCAAATTCCTATTGGAAGATAAAAAAAAGTATCCAAACAACACGCCCGAATGACCAAAACGAACAGATGAAACAATATATGTAGACGCTTGTATAGAAAACCTACTTCCACTGGACAATATACTCACTTTTTGAGCTTTGTACTTCTACAATACAAACGTAATCTGGTTAGATGTCTGGTTCACCGGGCTAGAGTTATCTGATGAAATGAGACACCAAACACAAGAACTCGATGGTATTCGCAATCTACTAAGTAGAAACAGATATCCAACTAAGTTCGTAAACAAACACATAAACTCAGAAAGTAAAAAGTCGAAGTTGCCGACATTCTTCAAAAAGTCAATTCTTGTTTACAGGTTACAATTCACGGATGATGTCAATACTGAGATCTCATCATAACGTCTGAGAAGGGCTTTCAAGAGCACTTTCTATGCAGCTAAGCTATGCTGTGTATTATTCACTCACTAGCCGATCAATACTTAGTTGAATAAATAAAGACAGATTACGCTGTTTCGCCTGTTCCATGTGTACACTTACCAGTTTAACTGGTCGTGTAGAGCTGATTACATTGGGCGTACGTACCATAAGGTGAATTCATTGTAGAATTTCTTAACACTTCCCACCGTGATTTGGTAAAGGTCTGAATAAAACTGCTGCACGCAGCTGAATACTAGCTCATCTTACCGATACTGACTGGAAATCAAGTCGACTCTAATAAAGCTTTGAAAGTTATTTGTCATATCATATATCACCCAACCTCTCACATGGTCTACGACTACGACTTTTATTGGTATATACAATAAAGGCAATCAAAATTCAACTGAACCAGCCAAATCTATGTGTTCAGAGGAAATTTGTACAGCCCCTTACTTTTCCCCATCATGGCCAACTACATAATATGTGTTAAGTTTTTAATAAAACGATATTTGTAATACTGTCTTTTGACTTAGTTAATTTTTACAATTCTAGCTAATTCTATTAACTTGTTTGTATTTAACGTAACTCTCTGCTGAGTCATCAGTGTTATTCTACAAATTTCTTGACTATGTAATAACTTGTTGCCAACGCCTAAGAATCAGCTCATCTTGAATTCCGTAATTAATTTTCACTCATCTTTCAAAACTTGGAATGGTCTATACTTCGATCACCTGAACACAGGTGTAGATTGAGCAGGCATATATATATATATATATATATATATATATATACGAGATGGTTGGAGGCAGTCGGCCACAGGAAACCTTACATTGCCTACGTTTCGTGTTAGTTGGCTCTCATCAGTCAGTAAGGCGTATCTGCAGTTACCTTGAAGGAACAACTCATATCCCTCCTGCTGAGGTTTAAACCTACACGTGTCACCCAGTTTCGACCCCTAGTCAGAAACGTGACCACCACCACCATTGAGTTATTCAGGCTCACCACATTGCAAACCTGACTGACTGATAGAATTCAGTTTGCACTGAACAAACGACTAGAACACATCATACTAGTTACTACTACTGTCCAATGAAAGTAGCTCAGGCAGATAATTTTGATTTAGTAGTGTTCTCTAAGCCAACTGATTTAATTATGGCGCTTTCATTGTCATGACAACGATTGTCAGGAGATACAATTATATCATCAGTCATGGGAAGAATTCAAATAAGTTGATTTCATATTTTTTTTTAAAAAAAACCTGCTCTGAAGTGATTGATATTGTTGTTGTTGTCTAAAAGGGGGACAAGTAAAGGTTTGCAATTAAGTTACCAACCCCAGTTTCTCAGAGAACATATATATGCATATAATTTGAGCATAAAGTTTCACACACATATATTAGTAATAAAAACCAATGAAGCGAAAGAAATTTTCAAGTATTGATTTTGTAGGCATTTCGGTAGATTGTTTTGGAGGATATCATCATGAGTTGACATCGGTTGGAGAACCATTGGAAAACCACCAACAGGGAATATTGGATAGCCAGCTGTTTTGTCAGCCTAGTTTTACAGTCTTCAGAAGCATGCACCCACCCACCCATGGGGTTCAACCCCAAATCCTTCCGGTTACAAGGCTACCGAAGATCGTAGACCATTTCATCAGACACTGAGACTCAACCCGATTCAACGACCAGCCGATGAATTCTTACTTCTGTCAAGTATTCACGACATAGTGCGATGAGTTACTGCCTCACCTTCAACCCCTGCTGTACCCTACTGATCAGGGCTTCCCACTAGAACATCAAGTAATTAACTACCCACGTGAATAGGGTGAGTCGCTAGTGAGCATGAGATCCATTTTCAAGTATTCATTCTTTTGAAATGTAAAGGTGGTGGTGGTGGGGGGATATACACAATGAGAAAACCATTATCTTCAGTATTATTATTATCATTTATTACAACAAATACAACCACCACCACCAACAGCAGCGACATCCAGCGTCAATCACCATCAACGGGAGGGATTTGAAAGAGGTTACTTCATTCATTCACTTATCTAGGGAACATTGTCTCAACTATACAGGCTGTCGGAACGGACGAGGATGTCAAATCGAGTGAGAATCGGGAAGGCGAGCGAGAAACACATTAATCAACCAACTGAAATCAATCTGGAAATCTTCGTCACTCAGCCAACATGAACAACAAAATTCAGTCGGATTTTCAGTATAAACGTCAAGTCAATCAGTACTTATATACGGATCAGAAACTTGGCGGGCGGACGGGTTACAAAGAATATTTCAAACAGCCTGTTGCAGACGTTACCTTTACCAACGACTAACTGTCTTCGCTCCATAGTGAAGATCAGATGGCTGGGTCGGAAAGAATCACCAACAAAAAACCATGGCTGGGAACAAACAAACAAAACAAGAACCAATCGCCAACCAACAAATATGCAGGAGAAAGTGGAGATGGATTTGATGGACATTCGCTGAGCAGGAGGCCGCTGGGTGACATTGCGTGCGCGTCAGGCCATTACTCAGTGGAACCCAAGAGAATGGGAAGCGGCGAGTGGGACGTCAGTGGAGGGGTGACATGGAGATCGTGTGAAGAGAGAGGAGTTGAAAGAGTATGGACTAAGATGGATTCAGGTGAAAAGTACAGCAGAAGGAAGTGGAGGGAAACGTGCAGTTGAAGCCCTATGTTCCACTACGGACCCAAGGGAACAATAATAATAATACAACAAATATACGAATTTATGTGTTTATATTTATTTTTAATCATTGAGTGTTGAAAAAGACAGCAAGTATTAGAAGGAAATGAACTTTATACAATGATAAGGGAACAAATGAATAATAATATTAATAACAATAGGGCAGTAGACGGATTGTACACTAATAATAATGGTACTATTATTATTATTAATATGGTAGTGAAGAGGACATTAGCAGGAACACGATGGTACCATCACCACCGCCAGCACTACTGATAATAATAGTTATAGCAATAGTATAATACATATATATTTAAACATGAAAGAATAGTTAGCCAGAAGAGCTAGCTCTATCTATCTATGATCTGCATTTGGTGCTGACAAATGAAGAAATAAGAGAGTAGAGGGAGGAACGGGACGGGACGGGGAGAAGGGGGGGGGAACAGTCATCACAATGAAACATTAAATTATCAATTCGATTAGCAGTAGTCAAGCGTAGATATACAATTCTCTAAGAGTAAATAATAGCAACAATAACTGTTATTTGTTTATTTATTTACTATTACTACTAAAACTAGTATTATTACGCTTATTGTTCTCTCTGTTATCACGATGTTGGTAATCGTCTTTAATTGGAGTGGAGTGGGAAGTGTCTACTCGACTTGACACTGACCGATTCGATTGTGATTCACCGACACCTGAACTGAAGAATAGTAAAAACAAAACAAAAAAGAACGAAAAACAAACAGGAATGAAGCAGGCGAAATTATGAAAGTTAAAGTTAGTAATAATAATAATTTAATTAAATTATAGATTTCTCCGTCGATTGATTGAACCAAAGTTGTCAGTCAGGTACATCTATCTGGTCTAGTCGATAACCCATTGGTATTTGAAACTATGGGCACTACCGCCTTCGAGCCTCGGTGGGAACATCATCACTCCCTGGGAAGTGCAGCTACATCCAGATGATGACGAGCCCCATATAGGACAAAATGCGCGTCATCCTGGATTCCACTTATAGTCACCATCCACCAATTAATTAAATTTTAATTACATGCCCAGATATCGTCGACGCATCTGCACAAGAAGTCGACAGACATGTCACCCTGAGACCGAGAACTTCGGTTCAATCAATCGACGACAAAATCTAAAATTCAATTAAATAATTTCTTTGGTGCAGACTGAATTCTATCAGTCAGTCAAGTTTGGAAGGTGGCCACCATTCTAGGTAGCTTGCCATCACGGTGCACTGTGAATTGTTGACGTTAGGATGGTCGGAGGCAATCGGTAGGACATTAGTTACTAGTGTCCAATCAAAATACTCACTACAGTCTCACAGGAGATCAATCGCGAGCCTGAATAGCTCAGTGGTGATAACGTCTCTGACCGCACGCAGTACTGGGGGTGACGCGGTTTCGAATCTCAGAAGGAGGGACATGAATTTCTTCAATATGGTTGCAGATACGCCTTGCTGACGGCTGGTGGAGTGCCAACTAGCACGAAACCTAGGTTCAAGGCTTCCTGTGGTCGATTGCCTCCAACTATCTAATAACACCAAATAATTTGCTTCATTCCCAAACGATACTAATGATAAAATGTGGAATTCTCAGCGCTTGGTACAATACTCCATTCAATTTTATCGAATAACAACAAAACCAACTACAAAGATTCCATTACAGGATTGTTACCCGACCGTAAGCTGCTACCTTGACAGGGTGGTCGGGCTTGAACATCGAAATGACCTAATCAAGCTATACTGGCTGAGACTTATGTCTCTTGAGGTCCTACCATACCAGGAAGGTTGTTTGGATAGCGGTTAAACAAAAAGCAGCTACCCATTCCAACATCATGAAAAATACAAAATCACAAAATTTCATGCCGGATCGGCCGTGACCCGGATTAACAAGGACCGCGCTTCCTGCTGCCGTGTCACAGGGCAAGAGTGATAAATATGCTACTGAGACACACCAAACACTAAACAACGAACAAAAACAGGCCGCGTGTGACCGGCCTCAAGCAGTTGTCCCCTGGGCTCCGCGGTCACGCAACCAACTTCCACGGTGTGGGTAGCCGGGAAGTAACAATCGCCCCCACAATCCGAAATGAGACAGGATTGTTAGTGCCAGTTCTCATTTGGTGTTTCTAGTGACAGTGAAGTCCATACATACACCAAAATAATATTCATGTTAGTAGCTAAGATTGTCACCTGATTGAGATAGTGTCAGCATAGATAACAACAAGTAGTAACTCATAGGTTTGGCACTCAACATACTCTCTATCGCATAGAACACATGCTGACCAAATATGACACCTTTGAGTTCCTATACTTCGTAGTACGAGCATACACTCTTTTGTACTGACTACTAGTTCTTGTAACCAGAAGGCCCTAAGTTCGAACCCTGATGAATAGTCTTAAACTAGGCTGACAAAACAGTTGTCATATACTACCAGGTTTTCCAATGTGTCTCTAACCAACATCAGCTCATGATACAATCCTGTAAGCAATAAATAAACACATTTTTTTTTATTCAAGTATTGGTTTGTAGGGATTTGGTTGATTGGTTACAGGATTTCATCATGAGCTGATATTGGTTAGAGAACCACTGGAAAACCCACAGGGAGTACTCGACAGCTGTTTCATCCTAGTGCTCGGGACTCTTCAGCAGTGCGCACCCACCGGGGTTCGAACCTTAGTTTTATTTCATTGCTTTACACATTCCCAAGTGGAATATCGTAGTAGGGTTTCACAAACTAGGGGGTCTAAAGCTTCATTGGCTTTTACACCTAACCCCCTCCCCTCTTTACCTGGCTAGAGCTTATCGAAGTCTTGGAGTGAATCGGGATCAGGGATCAAACCCTCGACCACATTCCTGGTTGGCAAGAGGCCGCCTAGTACTGAACCACCTTCAACGCACAAAATCAACACACACACACACACACACAAGTCTTTTTTCGTTCTAAATCAAAAACACTAAAGTTAACTAACTAACTAACGAACGAACGAACTATAGAAAAGATTTAAAATTAAAATGAATCAATGAACACAAATAGGATGTGTGACAATCGGAAATTACAAATAAAACAACAACAACAACAACAGAAGCAGGAAAAGAAAAGTGAGGCATCAAAGGACACTTTTGAGATAAAAAGTAAGATTACTATACCATACTACACTACTATACTATACTTAGTGTAAGAAATTTTTTTCTGTCAGCTTAAAGAAACAAAAAAGGAAAAAAACAGAGTGTATTAATCCTTTCCTCTTCGTCTCCCTTACTTACAACCGTCCCTCCTCCCTCTCGGTCTCCACCAACACAACCACCAACAACAGAGGAAAAGTAACAGACACTTTCACACTTAGGACAAACATGCATACACGGACGCACGCACGCACGCACGCATACACACACACACAGAGAAAAACAAAAACGAATGTATGTATGTCACAGGGTGGCGGCTAACGCATTCCTTCTTCTTCTTCTTCTAGGTGATTGAGACTAGGCCAGTAGTGTACAAGGTCAAAGTGGATGGATTAGTAGACGAAAGAAAGAAGAGTAAACACAAACGTTACAATTTAGAGCTGACTGGAGAGTGTACAGAAAAAAGAAAACAGAAATAAACACAACAGTCATTGAAGGAATGCCCTCCTCCTCTGTCTCTCTATCTCCTTCTCCCTTTTAGTGAGTCAACAAGGCTTAACTATAAACAACATTCAATGATAAAAAAAAGGTAAAACTAATTACCAAGTGGATTTTCTAAAATCTACCTGAAAAAATCTGCTTACTGCTGCATTAGACGACTAAGTGAAAATTTTATACATAGAGAAAAAAACAACAAGCTATGCATACAATAGTGGTGGAAAACCAGTTAAATAATAATTAACTTGGGAAAAAACATATGCTGAATTACACGAGAGAGAAAACTGAAGTGGTGCGGAGGAAGCGGAGGGGTCTAAGAAAGTAAACAAAAACACCAAAATAATTTTCCTCTTAATAAAAAGACAATTAAAAACACAAAGATGGCGGACAGAATCTACTTGGAAGTGAATGTAGTAAAACAACACAGCACAGACAATATTATTATCATTATTATTGTTCCCCTTGGGTTCCTAGTGGAACATAGGGCTTCAACTGCACGTTTCCCTACACTTGCTTCTGTCTTCCTTTTGCTGTACTTTTCACCTGCTTCCATGTTAGTCCATCTGATCTTCAGTATAGATCCAGTGAAGACAGTTGTTGATAAAGGTCTGCAATAGCCTGTTGGAAATATTCTTTGTGACCCACCCGCCCTCCAAGTTTCTGACTTAACGTTTGTATTGAAAATCCGACTGAATTTTGTTGCTCATGGTGGCTGAGTGACGAAGATTTCCAGATTGGTTTCAGTTGGTTGATGAATGTGTTTCTCGCTCGCCTTCCCGATTCTCACTCGATTTGACATCCTCGTCCGTTCCGACAGCCTGTATAGTTGAGACAATTTTCCCTAGATAAGTGAATGAATGAAGTAACCTCTTTCAAATCCCTCCCGTTGATGGTGATTGACGCTGGATGTCGCTGCTGTTGTTGTTGGTTGGTTGGTTATTTTCATCACCTCCGTCTTGTCTGTGTTCACTTGGAGTCCTGTCTTCGCCGGCTGCTTCTTCGACCAACTTATCGGTCGGTTTTCGCTTGTAAGTCTTCGATTTTGTGATAGTGACATCAAACATAAATCATCCACGCGCGAAATCCAGGTCTTATAGGTTCTTCACGTCGGTTGGTCCAGGATATCCCTGTCCCGTTTCTTGTGTACCACTGTCTGACGCATAATCCAGTCGGTCCACCACAATTAGGAATGTCATCGTGGGTGATAATAAGCACTCTTGTCTGACTCCTGTGTTTATTCCAAACGCCTCACTGAGTTTTCCGTTGTGGATCACTTGACATGTGACGTTGTCGTACAGCTAGCTGTTGAATAAGGTCGATGAACGATACAAATTGAGTGATAATGATGCCCTACTTGTGAAGACGTTATTCTCGGGTTCCAAGTGGAATAATGGCGACCTTCAAACAACAATATAGTTCCAAGATCACCCATAAACTCTAATCTTTACTCCTTAAACGACTTCCTTCACGTCATCCTCAGAACTACGCCCGCCCCCCAGTTGTTGTTTCTCATTCAGGATACACTGGAACAATGACCTAACGCACGATGTCACTCACCAATCTCTACAGCGTCGTGAGTCTGGTCCAGCTTTATTTCTTTAAGCATATTTGTTAGGCAACAGTTCTTTGAGTGAGTGGTTCTTTGGCTAAAGTTCCTTGTAGTTAGTCTGATCTGATCTTCAGTCAGCAAAGGTGGATGTTGATCAAAGGCTTGCAGTCTGATGGAAATACTTTCAGTGACGTGTCAAGTTTCTGAATCATGTAGAAGAACTGACTTGACACATTTACGTTGAAGATCAGAATCTTGTTCCTTATGCTGACTGCGACAGATTCACACGATGATTTAACTATAACGAAAGTCTGTATCACTTTCCAGATCCTGGCTGGACTCGACAGCCTCATGCATGCCGTCTTTATAACTGAAACGACGTCACCTAGACAAGTGATGAAACAGGCAACTTTCTTTCAATTTCTGCTGTTCATACTGATTGATTGGTGTTTGTTGTTGTTGCAGTTGGTTGTTTATCTTCACCACTTCTGTCCTTTCTATTGTTTACTTGAAGTC